AATGTCGTCATCATCCGCCCCCCCCCACTCCCCCCCCACCCCCCCCTCCCCCCACCCCACCAAAGTGCGGCAAACGAGGTAAATGGAGCCTTTCCTCCTCCTACTACTCCTCCTACTACTCCTCCTACTACTACTACTACTACTACTACTACTGCTACTGCTACTACTACTACTACTACACTACACGACCGACACGCCGACAGTAGCTAGGCCGGGGTTGTGACCGGCACGAAAAAAGCCTTGTCATTGCACCCAGGATACGAAGCGTACGACCTGCAGCAAGAACAAGCACCGGCATAGTATTGAAGGAACTCCAGAAGAGCACTGACAAGTGACGATTGTGTTGTGCATGCAAGGAGGCGCTAGCCGGTGCCAAACCCACCGATGAGCCAGAGGAGGTTTGATGGAACGGCGTGTCGGATTCTGATTTCAACTGTGGTGTTTGTGGCCTTTTTGCCCGGGCAGTTTACTCGAGCTAGACTGGAAAGCTTAAAGAAAAAGACCTTGAAGGGAGGAAAGGGCACAAGGGATGAACTCTTTCGGATTGGGTTGGTCACTGGCACAGACGCCGTCAGCCGACGTGCATCAAGTCGTGCCGTTCTGTGGCAAAGTTCTTTGATTGCAGCAAAACGTCTTGTATGTCAATGTTTGGTTCATGATGGTGCAGAAACATGTATAGATATGTATATGTATGTCATATACATGTGCATATATATATATATCTCTCTCTCTCTCTCTCTCTCTGTCTCTCTCTCTCTCTCTGTATATATATATATATGAACATGCATACACATATATGCGCACGTATACATACATACATACATACATACATACATGTATTTCTACACATACATACATACATACATACATACATACGTACATACATACATACATACATACATACGTACATACATTTCTGCACATACATACATTTCTGCACATACATACATTTCTGCACATACATACATACATACATACATACATACATACATATCTATATATACACCTACACACATTGTGTAGAGCAGCGCAGGACGCAACCCCCAAGCCGCCGGACATGCCGGAGGAAGAGAAGGTGCACCGTCGGTATCGGTCGAGGCTGCAGTCGGCTTAGAGCGTAGATTTTCGATCGGCCTCCAACGGCAAGACCCACAACATGTCGGATGGATGATAATGAGGATTTTGAGGTGCTGGTGAGGCTGAGTTCTGGTGCTGGTGGCGACAGAAATGGTGATTCTGGACTTGGCAGCGGTGGAGGTACCCCAGGAAGTCATGCAGCCCGACACTACCGGGTTGTCTGGTTATGTGTCTGTAGTTCATTGCAAAACGAGAGCCCAAGTCACAATGGACGACGAGAGACTACCACAAACGGTCAGTGTGCAGCGCTTCTATAACACTATGTATGTACGTATGTATGTATGTATGTATATATATATATATATTCATGCACTCCGCGGCCCCCCCCTCCTCCCCCCCATGCATGGTCCATGGTCCAGGATGCCCNNCCCTGTGGGGTGGGGTGTGGGGTCCCCCTTCCCCTTGTGGTGTGGTTGTGGGGTTTTAGTTTTGGGGTTTAGGGCTTCAGGCTAAGAGTTATAAGGCTTCGAGTTTGCTTCAAGCTTAGAGCCTGCATTTAGGCGGGGTTTAGGCTTGGGTGTAAGGCTTAAAGTACAGGTTAAGGGCAATAAAAACAGGAACACGCCCTATGTTATAGGGTCTACAGCTTGCGAAGGGCTTGCGTAAGATCCCGGCCTTCTCTGTCACCCCTGGCCGCACCCCTAGCAGCACCCCGCACAACCGCCCCGACCCCTCTCCGCACACGCCAGCCCCCGCCCCCCCACCCCTACCAGACCACACCATTGCTGGGAACGCCTGATCATATACACATATGTTTTGTAAAAATAAATAAATAAATATATATATATATGCATATATATATATATAAATAAAGATATGCTCTCGGATCCCGGGGCACCACACCACCCCCCCCCCCCATGGTACCTCGCCAGTTCGGGTGTCGTGTCGCCTGCGACATGCCTGGCCGTGCTGCTGCGCGAATGTGGTGATGGTGGTGACGGTGGTGGTGGGTGGTGGGTGGTGGGTGGTGGGTGGTGGGTGGTGGGTGGTGGGTGGTGGGTGGTGGTTGGTGGTTGGTGGTTGGTGGTTGGTGGTTGGTGGTGGTTATGGTGGTTATGGTGGTTATGGTGGTTATGGTGGTTATGGTGGCGGTGATGGGGCTGGTTGTGATGCAGTGAGTGGCTGCGAAGGGGCAAAGGCTGGTGGAGACGAGAAATCATAACAAGGATGGAGAAAGATGGCGAAGATGACGGTGATTCAAGCGAGACTGTAGAGGAAGAACACGCAAGAGCAGACAGATGAAGGCTGACCCTCATCTTCATACGCCTGCGTCTGCACCTCAATATCGCCATGCCGGTCAAAGTTGTAATCGTAGTCATGCCATCCGTATCAGCGAAGCCGCCAACAGAATCACAATCATCATCATCAGCATGAAATCATGCGCCATCGGGGCACCATGGCCACGACCACAGAGCCCCTCTCCAAAGCGAGAAGATGGAAGGGTGCAGCATGGCCCTCGGTCAGAATTTGCTTGGCAAATGGCAGGACAAGCAATTCGCTTGGGGCGAGGGGCCCCATATTTGTCCCACTATGGCTCGATTGCAGAAGCAGGATCCAAGCAAGAACGCGCTGCCTGGACTGCCACAGCAGGAAGCATTGAAATCGAGCGATTTTTGGGGTTATGTGGTAGTTTGCGCACTTTCGATTGAGTTGTCGGCAAAAGATATACATGTATGATGCAGGGTTGCCACACCCCCCCTCCAACCCGCCCCAGCGCATGGTATCCCTCCCCCGCCCCTGTACATTGGGGCCTGTGGTGGTACCCTTCCCCGCCCCCCATCCCTGCCCTGCCCCTGTGGTTTCGTTGTTGTGGTGGGCTCTGCACCCCCCTTAGCTGAGGTAGCTGAGGCTTGGTTGGCCTTGTTCGCAGGTGTGCCTGCTGCCGGTGATGCTGCTCATGATGTTGTGCTGCTCTAGACTGCCATGCGAGTCGACAATCGGATCTTGTTTGACATCATGCTGAACATCATCATTGTCGTCGTCATCTTCATCATCGGTACCATCAAAAGAACAGCTGCCACCATCACCATCGCCATACAACCCTCATAATTAAGCATTGCAGTTCATGTGCCATGCAACCCGCATAATTAAGCATTGTAATTCATGTCTGATGCGGGAAACTACTGCGCAGATTGCCGCTCTCTACACGGAGCAGGGGTTGAGTACCATAGGAGTGGGCGGGGGAAGTCATGATCAGCAGCATCATCACCACCACCGTCACCGCCACCACCACCATCATCTTCTTCTTCATCTTCATTTTCATCGTCATCAGCATCATCCGCATCGTCGTGCTGATCACATTCCTCGTCGCCCGCAACTTCATCGTCCCCAACATTCTAAATTTTGGCCGAGACTGCTAGGCCGCTAGGCATCTGAGCAAGAATGAAGCTGCATGCATTCACGGGCCTGCCACTGCATTCTACAGAACTTCGCTGGACTGGATGCCCGTTGAGCTACTCGGCATGAGCCACCATGCAGAAGCTGCAGTCACAGTAATGTGCAGTGTCAACCCCCCAGTGCAGCATCACACAGGACATCTTGCGCGCTCAGCTGGAGTCCAGCCTAGTTCGAGGAGGTCTGCAGCAGGCCAACCCGCAGCAAACGAAGTCGTGGGAATGCCACTCAGGTCTGACCGACCGAGCCTTCTGTGCGGTTGTCCCCGACAGGCGCTCGCCGAGGAAACTGACTTCGAAGAAGTTCGGTCTCAGCCTTTGTAGTGCACCGCAGCGATTTCGGAGAATGTTCAGTCTGCCCAAGGCTCCAATAAAAACATGGACTTTGACAGTTTCAAGTTCGGATTCGCATCCCTAGTGATGTTCGTGACCAAGGTTGCAGCTTCGGTCCTCCATGCTGCAGGCAATGTCCGATGGCTCTCTAGAGGGAGCCTTGAAGACTGCGTTTGCAGACCACGTCGCTGACGAGGACCGGGCGTTGTGCAAGTGTTGCATTATGTTCGCTCGTCTCGACAGGCAAGTTCATGTCCATGCGCCCATCTGTGAGGATGCCGTAACAATTGTTGCGGAGCAACCAGACATGTCGGGCGACATCGCTACCTTGGCTGATGCAGACGAGGAGACTTTTGAGCTGGAGAAGCTCAGGGAGCGAATCGCTCAGAAGATGCTGGCTGCCAGCTTGGATGGATCGCTTCAGGTAGCGCTTGGTGCATTCCAGGGTCCCAAAAAGAACGTGGATGAAATCCGCGCGAAGCTCGCGGATCAGCTCCTGGATTCTCTGAACAACGGCTCCCTAGAAAAAGCCTTGGCTCCCCTCGCCAAAGAGAAAGAGGACCTGAAGCCTACAGCGGCAGGCGGCAGCGACCCTAGCGGCCCAGGCGGTTCCGAGGATTTGCGGCAACGCGTCGCTTCTCAGCTGGAGGACGCTTTGACAGATGGCTCCCTGGAGGCCGCTCTGCAGGCGTGCATCGTTCCGAAGGAGGACCTCCAGCCGGGGCCACCGCCCGAGGAACCTGTGGACATCGAGATGCTGCGACAGAAGCTGGCTCATCGCTTCGAAAGCTCGGTGGCTGACGGCTCCTTGGAGGTTGTGCTCGCCGAGCAGTCGAAGGCAGTTGCGGCTGCGAGATCTGCAGGCACTGAGGATCTGCGGGACAAAGTGGGTGCCCAGATGCTGGCGGCCTTCAACGACGGATCGCTTGAAGCTGCCTTGGAGGCGAATGCAGCTGAAGAGACTGACTCGGAACGCCTGAGATCGAAGTTGGCGACCTCGTTGTCCCAGTCCTTCTTGGATGGATCCTTAGAGATGGCTCTCAGCGCCAGCCTCCCGGAGATTGATTCTTCCAATCTGCAGGCGGGCCAAGCCCTGTGAGCCTTCAACACGACCTTTCTTTTCTCTGTCGCGGATTGTCACCTTGTGTCTGAAGCCTTGGCGTGCCGTGCAATTTGGCACTGTCTCTCAATTATTCCCAGCCGTTGGACAGTTCCACCTGGCTTTCAGGTCGCGAAGCCAGCGAGGCAGTCGCGTCCACCTTCGGCACAAGCCATGAGCAGCGCCGTCGGCCTTCTTCACGTGCCCACCCCGACCTTTTTTGCAGTGCCGGCTGAGTGGTTCGGGCCAGGCTACTACAGGTAATCGAGGTGTCGTTGCTGTCGTGCCATTCGCGCCAAGCACGTAGCTACGCAGGTGCTTTCCAGCTATGATCGCACGAGACTGAGATGCTTGACTCTGCATTTCCCCATGAAGCGGTGAGTCTTTGTCATTGTGCCTGATGTTTCCAGCACCCAGCTGTTTGTTCCAATTACGGTTGCCAAGTCCTGTGTACGGGAGTGCATCGGGGTAGCACGAACTCCTGGTACTGTACACCTTGGATCACCTTGGTATTGCTGGTCCCCCGTCTTGTGCCAGAAGCGCCATTGCCGCAATTGATTGTGCCGTGCCAGCTGCTTGAATCGGGTGTTGGTAGCATGCTTCTGCTCTGGTTCGTTTCTTCAGTCGCCGTTCTCGTGGCCACCGTCGCTGTCGTCGTTGCCGCCGCCTCTGCCATCTTCGTCGTCGGCGTTGCCGTTGCCGTCGCTGTCGTCGTCGTCGTCGCTGCTGTCGACGTCGTCGTTGTCGTCGTCGTCCTGGTCATTGCCGTCGCCGTGTTCGTCGTGGTATATCCACAGGAAGAGCATCACCAGAACAACCTCTATCGAATTTCTGATTGTCGCCATCATGACTGCAACCCCCTGGTCCTACCCTTACTCGTCGTCGTTCTCGTCACGATCGTGTTCATCCTCATCGCTGCCAAAGCTCTCAGCCTCGGCGTCTCAAGCTTTCTGGAAGTCCTTCTGCTCTCCCCTCCGAGGCCGCATTGGAAAGATCGCCGCATCAATAGAAGCCGCAGAGCACGCCATCCGGGAGCGGATCCAGCAAACAGAGATGCTTCAGGTGGGCAGGGCCTTGGGATGCGTGGAGGGCTGCTAAGGGCCAAGGCTCTGCCAAGGCTCAAATAACACTGCGTCCGGTTTTTCCCTGCAGAAATTCGGGCGCGCAGAAGCCTTGGTCTGTGCCACCAGGCCCCAAATCCGAACGCAGAAGGACCCGTGAAGCCTCAGCCTACGTTTTTGGAGTCAGCGATTGTTGGCTCTGGGGATCGAGGTTTAGGATTTCTGCACAAGGCTTAACTGTGACCTGCCTGCACACCCGCGGTTTTTGAGAGCTCCATCAGCCTTCTGAGAAGAAGCCGTGGTAACCAGAGAGTTTAACACATCAACGGCGAGGATAACTATCACAGTGCGAATATGACCATGATCAAAGCTCCAACAGCCAGAAACACAAAGAAACTGCTTGCCAGGGGAAAATTTTCAAAGGCACCGTCGGACTGCAACAATAAGTATCGGCCGCCCAGCAGCCTGCACCCTCAAGTGTCCTACCGCAATGCTGCATGTCAGGATGCTTTCAGGGCAAGAAGTGACGAGCGTGCCTGTGGCACAGGTGAGTAACGTGAGGGCATTGAAGCAGCAACTGAACCGGGTGCACGGAATGCCTTCGCGATTCAGGCAAAGACTGTTATTTGGCGGAGCTGCTTTAGACGATTGCGCCCACCTGGACTCGCCGATGGACCTGGAGTTGGTCCTGCTTGCATATACTGTGGCTTCCGAGACGCAAGCAAAGCAGCTGTTGGCTGCTGCTGCGAACGGTTCCACATCCGAGGCTTGTTGTGATTCTTGTTGGGCCCAATCCTGACACAGCACTCACCCCGAAGGCCTCGCCACTCTAAGTTACCCAGTGACTTCCGGTAAGGGGTTTTTCCTGTTATTCTGTGACGAAGCCTGCAGGTTGAGGTCATGCTGCAGAAGCCCCACCACCCGGACGTTTTCGACGCGAATGGCCGCAGTCCGCTGAAGCTTGCAGCTGAAAGCGGCCACGTTGAAGTTGTGCGACTGCTGCTGGAAGCCCGTGCCGATACGAACCGCATCAACGATCATGGCGACACTGTCTTGATGTCTGCTTCTCATGAACAGGGCCAACTGGAAGTTCTGCGTTTGCTGCTGGATGCCGGTGCCGACAAAAACTCCGTTAATACTTCCGGCCACACTGCATTGATGCTCGCTTCTCAATGTGGCCACTTGGAAGTTGTACGTTTGCTGGTGGAGGCGGGTTCCGACAAGAACCTCAGGAACAAAGACGGCCACACTGCGTTGATGTTCGCTTCTGAGCAGGGCCACTTGGAAGTTGCGCGTTTATTGTTAGAGGCCGGTGCCGACATGAACCTCATAAACGTTTTTGGCAGCACCGCATTTTTGCGCGCTTCTGCAAACGGCCACATGGACATTCTACATTTGCTGCTGGAGGCCGGTGTTAACAAGAGTTTGAATGATTTGATGCACAAGAATGGCCGAAGTGCATTGTTTTCCGCTTCCAAGCGAGGCCACGTGGAAGTCGTACGTTTGCTGTTGGACGCTGGCGTCGACAAGAACTCGACCAACAATGACGGAAACACCGCATTGATGTTGGCCTCTGAGTGGGGCCACACTGAAGTTGTTCGTTTGCTGCTGGAGGCCAGTGTCGACAAGACTTTGGCCGACAAATTGGGCCACAACGCTCTGATGATAGCTTCTTTTGAAGGTCACGCTGAAGTTGCACGTTTGCTTCTGGAATCCGGTGCTGACAAGAACTCCGTTAACAATTTCGGCAACACTGCATTGATGCTCGCTTCTCAATGGGGTCAGTTGGGAGTTGTACGTTTGCTGGTGGAGGCAAGTGCCGACAAGAACCTCAGGAACAAAGACGGCCACACTGCATTGATGTTCGCTTCTGAGCAGGGCCACTTGGAAGTTGCGCGTTTATTGTTGGAGACCGGTGCCGACATGAACCTCATAAACGTTTTTGGCAGCACCGCATTTTTGCGCGCTTCTGCAAACGGCCACGTGGACATTCTACACTTGCTGCTGGAGGCCGGTGCCAGCCAGAAAGTAATACGCCAGGATGGCCGAAGTGCATTGTTTTCCGCTTCCAAACGAGGCCACTTGGAAGTTGTACGTTTGCTGCTGGACGCCGGTGTCGACAAGAACTCAACCAACAATGATGGCGACACTGCATTGATGTCCGCTTCTGAACAGGGACACGCGGAAGTTGTACAGTTGCTGGAGGCCAGCGCAGAGAGGACCTCAACCAAGAGGAGTCGTCACTGCTTAGATGACCTGTCCAACAAGCGGCAGCGATGATGCACTGCCCTGAGGATGTCTTCTCAAGGTCGAGATCAGTGTCTCAAAGCCCTTAAGGGCCTTTCTGCCATCTTGCGCGTCGTCACCGCAAAACCCCCGTACCCACCCAGATATGCATGCTCCCTGCCCATGGGAGGGAGTCCTAGCTGGCCGATGGAGTGGACACTTTTCGAGCTTCCAAACTAAGATGCCTGATTCTTCCAAGGGGAGTTCAAGTGCAAAGTTTGGGGTGTAGCTGTCGGGTCTACATCATGGTCTTCTGCTTGAGAGCACCTCACCTGCTGCTTTGAAGAAAGAGTTTGCTGTCAGATGAGCAGTGCAAAAACCCAAAAAACACCCAAAATCACCTCCAAAGCATGTGACTGACCCTGGCGGAAAGCCACCGCCGTGGGACGGGGCAGGTGCAGCTCACAGCAGCCCGGGGCGATCTTCGAAGCCTCGGCCTTTGGAATCCCCGGAGCTAGGGTTCTCATGGTGTTTGTGTAGGGTTCATGGGTTTGGGCCTTAGGGCCTGAGGCCTGAGGGTCAGGGTTTCCTGCTTTTCAGGTGGTTGACAGCTTCAGGCTGAGGTTAGGGCTTGGAGCTGAGGGTTTCGAGTTTGGGCTCAGCATATGGATAAAGGGGTCTGGCCTGCTAGCACTGGAGCTCCTACTTTGCAAACGGCTGGTTCGCTTCCATCCTTCGCCTTGCAAGATCTCGGGCAGCATAATGGAAGGCAGGAGGCGATGCCCTCGTGAGGCGTGGGAGTCCTATTCCGTTTAGTACAAGGCGGGTGTGGCTAGTGCGACATGTCGGACAGCGATCCTTTCAAGAAAGTAAAAAGCAGACAAACAACTCCGGTCGCGACCCGAAAGGCTCAGACGCATGAGGGTAATCTAGGGCATGATGCATGTCCCTTGGCATGCTCCAACCAGAGCCACTAGAGCACCGACGCTTGACCTTCGAATCCGTCCAGCCTCAGATGCAGGGTGCGAGTTGTGTGCTGGAGCTGTTTCGTCGAGCTCTCAGGCTTGAACGAGGTGTGGGAAAAGCAGCAGGCAGCCATCAACGCGGAAGAGGTGCATCTCCAAAGTTTGAACGAAAGTTGGATTTGATGGTCAGTGGTTCATGTGTTGCTTCTGGACGTCTTCATACTCCATCACGCTTACCGCGGCAATCTGCCTGCCTGCAGCAGGTGCGTGACTTGATGCTTCAGGTGCCAGTTGTCGAGTGTCGCCATTCGGAAGCTCTGTTATGCAGTTGGACCGGCGATTCATAACTTGCCTCTCAGGAGGAGCGGCAAAAGGCCGCAGACAGGAGCGGGCCAATGCTTGGAGTGATCTACAGTACCGCAAACTTGTTTCTGTCGCCACATGCTGTGACAGAGCGATAAGGGTTCGTAAGCTACACCGCACCAGTTTGGAGCTCGAGAAGCTGAAGCACAAACATGCAGCCGTCGACATGGCATGCGCCCCAGCAATTCACACTTTGCTGACCTGAGGTTTGGGGCAGACTGCATTGAGCTGCTTAAGTGCTGGCCTGCTCTTGGAGGGGGCGTGCCCACACTAAGGAGGCACATCTTCTCAGCAATCGGTCCGAGATGGCTTCAACAGCTGCCTCGGGGCAGGAAGCAGGCTAGATGCGTCTGCCCGGGGCCCTTTTCTGCAATTATTTCCTGGACCGTCTTCAGCCAGGTTGCAGCAGGCAAGATTCGCCGTTGACAACTTGGAGGTCTCAATGACAGCCATTTCGGTCCTCCTTGCAGCGGATTCTGTTTCACTTGCCGGTCGTCCGTGCTTGAACAACCAGAGGGATCAGGACCAATTTTCAACAAGTGGTTCTGAGTCCTTGACTTCCTTCCGCAAAGCGGACTGGTTTGTAGTCCGGCACGCGGGCCTTTAGCGGATGCGTTGAGTGGGCGAAGCCAACGTCAGTCTTTCAGATCTACGGTCGGGCTGGTAAGGCAAGATAAGGCAAGATCATGTGCTGCCGGCCCCACCTTCCAGAAAGAGCACAGGCCAGCCATTTTTCAGTTTAGCTTCTAATCTGCTTCCCCAGCGCCCCGAAACCCCTAAACCCCTAAACCCTAAAACCCTAAACCCTAAACCCCAGGCAACGAAAAGCATAAAACCCCAAAGCCCTAGTGGAGGGGAGCTGGCCCGCCGCTGCAACGAGGTGAGCACGGCATGACCGCGCTAGCAAAATCCGTCCTCTTCGGTGGTACCGATCGAAATTATCATTCTTATTAATATACGTATTAATATTATCATTATTATTGGTATTATTATTGTTATTGTTACTCTTATCATTATGGTTAGGATCCCTATGGCCCTATGTGTACTATCTCAGCTGTCTCAGTCTCGGCGCGCCTTTCTTACCAGAGCTTCAGCAGCTAGGAGAAGAGGAGCATCCAGATTTGGCCGAATGTGGAGTAACCTGTTATATAACTTGCGAGCCATGAACAGCCCTGGAGACTCGCTGTGCGCTCAAATCCCATCAACCCTCCATTTTTTGCATACAGCCACATAAAAGCAACCTGCAAGCCCAAAGTGTTGCCGTATCATGCCGTGAAAACAACCCAAGAGGCCTTAATAACAGTGAAAGAGGGTGCATCACAAGATAGGAATCCTTTGTTTGTGGCAATTGCTGTTACATGTTTTTTTTTTTGTGCTGATGTGGTGATCTTGGGCACCCTAAATCTTGAGACGTAAACTGGTCCTTTAGGACCGGGCTGCTCAGACCAGGAGCACGATGTCAGCTGTCTTTAGGTGTCAGCGCTTGCTCCATGTGGGAAGGGTGCCCACCCAGCAGTTCTATGAGCTTCCGAGACCACCGTGATAAATCCCAAGGCTTATGCAGCACCAAAGTGCTCGTACAGGCTGGAGGCTGGAGCCCAAGACAGCCTTGGGCATTGGGGGGGGCTCTTAGTCACGCTTGCGGGAATGATCAATCATTTATGTTTGCACGATTCGTTGTCCCGTTTGCAGTGGATTTGCAGCACTTCCCCTGGGTGTAGCGATGGAGGACAACAAAGTTGCAGATGCTTGCGTGCTACTCGCTTCTCATGCTTTGCCAATGCATGGCCCGCTGTGCAGGACTTCATGGAACGCACCATCCTGAAAACAACTACTGAAACTACTAATCACCCCAGAACGTCAAGATCTGTTAAGCTCTTCACTTCATGAAGACTTCATGACTCATGAATGTCATGGCCACGCTCTCTTGCCAGCAGCTCTACTGTAGCTTCGTCTCGTACGGAGACGAGTTTCCTTTCAGCTTGAAGCCCCGGATCATCCCCTGCGACTGCCGCCATGGAGATGCTCAGTGCTGGAGGGAAGGCGAGCGGAAGAGTATGGATTGAAGACCACCCAACGGAGGTGCGGAGGGTCACTGGTTCTGGTGCTGGTGCCTGGCGGCACTAGTGGAAGGAGGCGTAAATTACGGTGTAGGTGTTGGTGCTGAGAACCTCCTTACTGGCATCAGTAGTGGTAGCTCGCCTGTGCTCGCGGGTCCGTAGTACGAAGCTTTTAGTTAGTGGTCGGTGGCTTGTAGGTAGTACGTAGTAGTTAGCAGCAAGTAGATGTCAGCAGGTCCTGCTCGGATAGCAGGTCGTAGCGGTAGCAATAGTAGTAGTGGTTGTGTTGGTGGTGGCGGCAGCCGCAGCAGCAGCAGCAGCAGAAGATCATCACGACACTGAAGCGCTGAATATCGCTGAATAACGAGCAACGGCCCATTCGCTCGCCCGCCCACGCGTACAGACAGGCAGGCAGACTCGACACTCGGCTAACTGAAAACACGGAGGACAAGCATTCTGCCTGGCAACATGCTGCGTGATATGTGCATCCTCCCAACCCGAGAAGAGCCCCCGGTACGAATACCTACACCCAAAGCAGGACTTCCACTGGCACTGTCCGTAAATAAGCAAGTAAGTATCATGAAATGCGCCTGGCCGGTATGCCGCCATGAGCAAGATACTGTAGATCACATCAGTATCGTGTTCATGATGACGAAGTGCCTGAAAGTGCCCTTGTGTCGGGACATCTCCCAGATGCACATTGCGAGTTTGGAACCCATTCTCGAAATCAGGAAAACAGACAGAGACAGACAGACAGA